AGACACAAATTCAAGTTCATATTCATTTTATATACCATTCCATATCTTATTACCATTTTCAATTTTCTGTATAGCTTCTCTTCTCTTTTAAACTTTCTTAGTTTTATTTTATTTATCTCATCTCAATTCAAATCATAATATTTATTGTTCTTTGTCTGTTCTGTTTCCAGCTATCCATTTATCTTTCTTCTTTAAACAAAACTTCTCCTGTACAGTGTACACTAATTGGAGTATGACGCCTTTATCTCTTTCCCCTACATTTATAATACTTAATATAATACATAGCTTACATTGGGATTCTGTTTGGTACATTCTAAAATTATACAATATTTTTTATTATCAATGCCAATATAAATCTAATTGTTAATATTAGTATTCATTTATATCTTAAACACTTTACACGTTACTTTTCAATTGAATATCATACTTTTATGGGAACACTTCTGTTTTCCATAATTATTTCCCCCCCGCATCACATATTTTAAGTCATTATTTCATTAAAATGTTCCCCCTTCTCCTACTTCAAATCTCTCATTTATTTCATTGCCTTCTTTTTCTTCACAAAAAATTTCACTAAAGTTACACGATCTAATCATTAATATTGATATTCATTTATATCTTAAACACTTTACACATTATTTTTCAATCAAATATCATACCTTTATGGGAACACTTATGCTTTCCATAGTTATTTCCCCCCACATCACGTATTTTAAATCATTATTTCGTTAAAATGTTCCCCCTTCTCCTACTTCAATTCTCTCATTTATTTCATTGCTTTCTTTTTCTTCACAAAAATTTCACTAAATTACACTAAATGTTTTAGCACATTTTAAATTACATATTGTTTCTAATTTTCTAAGATTATTTCTAAATACAAATATAAAAACACAATCTTATGTACCTTTCCAGAATCCCTTTTTCAATAAAGTTTACCCATTATCTCTAAAAGAATTTTGTTTCTTTGCATCTTGCTCCCCACCATTGAGGCTTCTCATCCCTTCCTTTTTCCCTTGCTTGTTCTTCTCCTTGCCCTTTTTACCCCCTTGTCTCTCCACCTCACTTTTCTTCTTCTGCTTTCCTCCTTTCTGTTGTTTTCTAACATAGTATCCACTTTTCACCTTATTTTTCTCTTTTTTGGTTGTTTTTCCAAGTCTTAAAGTCCCCTTTTCCTTTTCCTCTTTCTCCTTTCCTTCCCCAAATAGAGTCACTTGTTCATCAAAGATGGATTCTTCTTTATCCCAGTCATCCTGTTGCACAGTCAGCTTTTCATAGGTACAAACTGCCATTTCTAAAAATTGAAAGAGAGTGCCAAGAGAGTCCTTCCCTTCTTGTTCTTCTTTTTTATATTTTTGATATTCAAATTTCAATTCATCCACAAGTGATGCCATTGCAGAGAGAAAAAAGTTTTTCCAAACAACCACCCAAGTGCTTTTAATCAAATAAGCTATTTCTTTTAATACTTTCTCCTTTCTTCACTTTCTCTTTCTGGGGTTACTGTTTAGTCACAAAGTTCCATTTAAAATATATCTTTTAGAAGTCTTATTAATGTTTAATAACTCTTTAAAATTCTAGGCAGTCTTCTCCTTATTTTCAAATTCTGCTCCAATTTTTTTTCCCTCTCCCTTTCCACTCACAGCAAAAAAGGTTTTGTTTTTTTTTAAGTTCAGAAATCCTTATCCCTTCAGCATTTAATTACCTCCAATGCGGGTTTTCCGATTTCTCTTATGGTTCCATCCTCTGTCACGTTAGAAAGGAGAGTGAAAAGAAAGAAAAAAAAATTTTCCTTTTAAAATTCCATTCGCCGCTTGTAACTCTCTCTGGAAACAAATTATCTTTTGCAAATTTCAAGTTCCACGGTACTTTCTCTTACTTTATCCCGGTCAGCAAAAACCAATTTCACTTCTTCACAACTCCTCCTGAACTTTCTTTTTCCGGCTGAGCTCTTCTATGTGGCGGCCATTGCTGACCGCCGCTCAGCTGCCTTCGGAAAAGGGGGTTTTGCTGGCTAGGGAAGAGAGGTGCGATGTCTCTCGACCCTGCCAGATCCCCCCTGTCTTCGCCACCTTCTACGGAGGTGGCTTAGCCCTGAAGCCGGGTGGCTCGGGGCACTCGGGCAGTGAGCGCAGGCAGAAACCGCGTAGTCGTGGATTCCTGCCTGCCCCGAAGCGCTGCAAACCGGAAATCCAAAATAATACTGGTTTTTTGATGGCACTATTTCAGGGATTATGAGGACCATATGCTATTCACCAATGTATTAAAAATGAGAAAAGGGCTACCTTGTCTATTCACAATTTCACTTTCTAATTAAAAAAATGTGTATACATGGCAAATTACACAAGTGGCATGCAGAACCCTCTCTGTGGGCATGTGCACCATTGCCCCAGCTCAGCTCCACCATGCATGCTGCCGTGCATGTGCAGGGGCTGGGCACATGCATGGGGGCCACGCACACATGTGTGTGGCACTTTGCGTTTTGGGTATGCGTACGCATGTGTGCACTTTGGGTACTTGGGGCCCAAAAGGTTTGCCATCACTGACCTAGGGCTATCAAATCTGGACTGCAAAAATCTGGATGATCACTAGATGGCACCAAATAAGTTTACAATTTCTACTATCTCTTTGCTGCTTATCAGTAGTCATCAGATGTTTGCAGTTCCAACCTGAAAGCCCTAGGTAGAATATATATATTTTAGGAACAATATGTAATTTTACCTCAAAGACTTGCTGTATTTCTTGACTGCCATTGCCCAATTTTGTGACTTGAAGAAAGAATTGCCTATATTTTTTACATCTTCAGCTACAGCCACAATCTTGTCAACCTACAAAAAAGAAGCAAATGTACTGAGCATAGTTGCATGTCATTTCATTTTGTTCCCTAAAGAATTTTGGGGAAAAAACAGCTTGGAAACAGTTTCCCACATGCTATTGGATATAATTGCACAGTGTTAAGAGCTGCAATGCAGCAACATGAAGTATAAATAGAATACTCCATTTAAGCTATTGAAAGGGTTGGAAGCTGCAGAACGTCAAGATAGAAAACAAGACAAGGACAATTCGTGTTACATGTTTTCTACTTTAAAAAGATCAATAATATAAAGTAAACTTTTAACAAAGCTTCTTTAATATTAACATAGGAAATAAATGAAACACTTACTTCCTTTAAATCTATGTCAGAATCTTCAGGAAAGTCTGCATGAATATCTCCAGAACCATCCATGGGAGAGATTTCCCAGTTTTCATCTTCTTTTAGCTCTCCACATTCTGCAATAACGCACAACTGTAAAAGAAATATATAAAACGTAACTTTTTCAATGGCAACCTGCTTCAATTTTCAGAAAACATGTCATTTTTTCCAAACGTTTTCCAAACTTCAAACTTAAGTTTTTTTCAACTTTATGTGAAAAGTAAAAATAATACCTCTCTTGAATGTTAGTAGTTAAACTGCAATCTGACTGGCTCTTTAATCTAAGATGGGCAGGGAAAAAGCTATTGACACCTTAATTCTTGCTTTACTACCTATCCTAGTAACCCTAACCAACTTGTTCTAGTATGCTAGAGTTGAAATTAAACATCAGGAGGGACCCAGCAAATTTTTGCTAAAATTATTCTATATATAAGTAGAAACGATAATTACCATCAAAGCAAACAAATGTTATTGTTGAATAATTTAACTCATATTTTAAAATGAAATGAAAACATATTTGAATTATCTTAAAATGTTATGATATGAAAAAGATACCCCAACGATTTTAGCTTACCTTGGCAGGTTTTTCTCCTTTTATTTCAACATTTTCTAAAAGTTTTGCAACACCCATGCCCTTGATCACTTGCCCAAAGACGACGTGTTTCCCATCAAGGTGAGGGGTAGGCACAGTTGTGATAAAGAACTGTGAACCATTTGTATTGCATCCTGCATTTGCCATGCTCAGCAAACCTGGTTTATCATGCTAAATAAAACAGCAATGTTCTCATGAAAATGATTCATTGGTAAACTGAAAATCATATATCATTTCCTAACCTGCAATATCATATATTTGGAATACACAACTAAGAAAACTTTTCACCCAGTCAAAAAGTTGCATACCCATATCTAAAATTTATACATATACACAAATAAAGTTAAAAGTAGGATCATGAGATTGGGGCATTTAAAAGACAAATATCTCCATATTTTAATATTTATGTAAGAATTTGAGATAAAATTAATTTTACTTGGAAGACTGAAATGCTCTCCTCACTTAATAAAGATAGCTGAAACTTGTTCTTTAGCAAACACTGACCTATTTACACTATAGAATATATGTACAAATAAATACAATGCAAACACTGTATGTTGTTGATAAAAAATAAAAGCATTTATACGTTGGATTTTCTCACTGTAGAATAAGAGTTAGCACTCTGATTCATTCTCAGAAATCCCATTATCCTACATGAAAGGTGGCATTTCAGCAGATCATGAAAGGAAAGATCTGGTCCCTAAATCTGCTCCAAACCAAAAGCAGAGCTTGGTGTAAATGAATATATTTCATTTTTTTCTTCCTTTTATTTTCATAGAAATCTTCTTAAAGCAAATTTGGAAAAAAGAACAAAAACTTTGGAAGGTATGAGCAGCTCTGATTCTCTCTGATTTCTACCTTTTTTAAGGGCTGGTGTTTGGTTTTCCTTCAAAATTCATTAGCAGAATTGTGTCCACTGGAAATTTTAATTATAAAACCTATTACCTTATAATGAAAATTTTCATCTTCAAACTTTTCTCCATATATACTTTCTCCACCTGTTCCATCCTGATTTGAAAAATCTCCACCCTGGATCATAAATTCCTTGATAACTACAATTGAACCAAAGTGAAAAAGCTGAAACAGACCTCAATTATCTAAAATCAAGTGCCTTTCTTCCATTACTAGCTGGGTTTTTTTTTAATCTTTCTCTCTTTGCAAATCAGCATTTTAGCAAACTAAATCGATATGGATATGAAAACATTCTAAGCATGAAACAAAACTGATAGGAACAAAATACACTGCATCTCAAACAGTATGTTTAGTGTTTAGATCAGTATTTTTAATGTTCTGATCATAGGGAACAACTCCGAAATAAGCTATTCTAAGATCAAAACAAAACACTCATGCTCCAGAAATTTTATTTTGTGAATTATATCAATTGTAGTAAGTACTTATGCAAAGGCACCTAATTCTATTTTTGTCTAATTTCCAAATTAGTTCCACTCATATCTCCCTAAACATACTTGAGTCCTAAATCAAATATAATATGCTCTGCAGCATTATAACACCAGGAACACTGTTATTATGTCAATGTTTTAATGGATACAAATAAGGAACTGTTATCTCTCTATTGTTTTCTTAAAATCTTAAATCTTCATAAAAAGTGTATGCCTTCTTTTAAACTAAAATAAGACACCAACCTCAGTGCTTTGACTATCCCAAATTATATCAATACAAGATTCTAGAATCAATGTCACAATGGTGCTAGCCAATTTTTTGGCTGCTGTTAGTTAGATGTAGAAAGAAACTAATGGATGAAGGACTTGTTTCTCATGAAATGTATGTGGTTTTGTTTCTTTTTTATTATATTTATTCTTGCATGCTTTGATTGTAAGCAATCTTTCATTCATTCAAATAGGAATAAGTACTTACTTCTATGGAAAGGACATCCTTTATAATGAAGAGGCTTTCCAGTTGTAGGCCCAATACCTTTTTCTCCAGTACACAATGCACGAAAGTTTTCTGCAGTTTTAGGTACAATATCTGCAAACAGTTCTAATACCATTCGACCAACTGGAACGAGAGAAATCTGTAGCTGTACTTATTTTAGCAATGTGTATCACACCACTCTCAAAAAATTTAGGACTCAATTCACTCACTGAATTCAGCCAGTATTAATACAATTTTAAATGTATAAAAGTTTCTTGAACTCTGATGTTCCACCTGCCAATCAAATATTTAATTATTCCAGACCAAGCAATGCAGCTTTTCCGTATATGTGAGATTATAATTCAGCTTTGCCTACATTCAGATACATAATCTAAAATCCATTCAGTTGCCGCTAGATATCAGTAATAACCAGTCTACTGTCTGTTGATCATTTCTATTACTGTTATGGATAAAAACCTGACCAGCACCAAATATTAGGTATTCATCTTATAACCATTTGTTTAGCAAACCTTCAAAGTTACAATGGCACAGAAAAAAGTAACTTACAACTGATCCTTGCATTTACAATTGTCATAGCATTTCCGCAGTCATGTCATCAAAAATTGGGCCCTTGGGAAGCATTTTTTTACAATTACAATGCCCTGGGATCATGTGATTGCCATTTTCTCCTTTTCCAACTAGGTTCTGACAAGCAAAGTCAATGGGTGAAGCCAATATTCGCTTAACAACTGCATGATGTACTTAACAACTGCAGTGATTTGTTAACTGTCACAAAAAAGAATGATAAAATTGGGTGCAACTCATTTAACAACAGAAATTTTGGTACTAATTACAGCTGTAGGTTAGATTTGGATAGGGGTTTTTTTTTTGAACATTATTTAGATTGTCATTTTAATAAGTACGTCTGAGAGGCAAATACTAATATGCATTTTAAAACACTATTTTTATTCAGAAAGTTATTAAAACAGTAACCTTGATTCTTGATAACTGCAATATACAGGGTTTCATAGACTCATGCTGTAGGCTATATTGGGCTCAATTAGTATATTCCATATTATAAAAATGTATTGTGATACCTGTCAATGTTATGGTAAATGTTATGGAAATTTCAAATACTTATTTGGAAATTCTTTTTTTAACCTAAGAAGATTGTGAATATTATAGATTTCTACAGAAAGGAGTTAAAGTCATTCAAACTGTTCATGTTATCCCTAGCTGTCTTCTAAGATTTGCCTTAACAAAACATATCAGGGTGGTGGGGTAAAGGAGCTTATGTTTTATGGATTGTTGTCGTATTTCAATATATTTGTTCAAGAATAAGAATCATTGGTGCTGGTTTTAAGTTATTCAGCTAAGAGACAACACTAACCCCCAAAATATAAATCTACAGTATCGGATTTCAGTGGGATTGACTTCCAAGTTCACACCTGTGAGATTGATCTGTGATTTACGGATTGAATGGAAGGTATATTTTACAATAGTTCTGGCAGTGTATTAACCTTCGGGCCACACCGCATAAAATCACAGCACATTCCTTTTCTTTAGGCCAGGGGTCTCCAACCTTGGCCACTTTAAGACTTGTGGACTTC